AGTCATTAAGATGTACTTAATTATGTTCTTGATTGACCATGTAAAATGGCCTTTAAAGGAAACTATTTGAATTGTAAACATAAAGATATAATGAGAGTTTAAATAATTATAATGTTTTAAAAATACAGCATGCATGCCCATTTTCTTTCAGGTTCTTGGTTTCAGAACAACAGTATTTTATGACATAAATAAGTAACAAAGTATATTCTGAATAATTACATAATTATATTTAATCTCAAAATCAAAATGAAACCAAAATCTTAATTCCTTTCAAAGTGGTCTTTCAAAATATGCCTTGTCAGAATTGGAAGGCTTGTGCATCTGCACATATCATAGGATTTATTGGTAATTTCATATTTAGATCAGTAGAACATAGAATGCATTGTATTGGTGTTATAACCAAATTACATTCTTGAAGGAAATATTAAAATTATATTCAGTTTTCTCATTGAGGATGTATATGTTCTTCATTGAAGAAACGTATAATTAAAGGGACCTTGGCATTTTTAAATAACCTCGAAATTTGATAGCAATCTCAAACCGAAAATGTTGGTAGAGCTCTTTATTTTCTTGATCTAGACTCACGGGTTGTTTTAATTTTTACTGGGAATTGAACTATCCAGTATCCATTCCCCAGTATGAATACCCACTTAATAATTCATTATATGTGAAAATACCTTCACTTGGATTAAGCAAGCCAGATAAGAACAAAGAACCTGGTTGTAGGCTAGCAGTAAGAATACGTGAATAGAGTAGGATAGAAAAGATACTTTGTATATTCTTTAAGTTATACTCGTCCACATCCAACCAAGCAGAGCATGAAGATGTAGTCTCCACGTGGGGAAGAGGGAAGCAAGTACAGAACATGGTTTTAGGACCCAGCAATGGGCTTGCATACCACCATAAAATGCAGTAATGGGCAGACCCCCACATCTACTCTTCTGTGGTGACAGTGAGGTAGTGTCTGACTAATGGCTGTTGGTTCAGAATAACATATTCAGAGTGCTGAGTAAAACCCTGCCTGTTAAGAATCTTGTATTCAACAAACTGACCTTCATCAATAAAGCAGTCTCAGAGACAAAATCCATGAGAAGACATCACCTCCTGACTTATTGACAGAAATGCAAATGGAAAGAAACTTGCTAGTAGAGTATACCTGAAAATAAGAAAGTGTACTTAAATTTAGAATGCTCTGATGATTGTATTTTAGTGCAGATGCTAATAGGAAAATATCTGCAATAATTTTCAAGAGATTGTGACAATAAATTACAGATGGGATGTTAAGGGTAGAAGATATGTTTTTTCTTTTGAAGTTGTCATGTTAGTTTCCATCTTGGCTTCTCTTAGTGATGGACTGTGATTGGGACTTGTAAGCTAAAGAAACTCTTTCCTTGACAGTTTGTAATTCTTCATGTCTTTATCACAAAGTATTCTTCTAAATATACAGCAAACAAAATTAAAAGACTAAATAGCAAGTGACATGAAAGAATCAAAGCATCATCAAATCAGGTGCATAAAACATCCAACAGAAAGTGACCTGAAGACCCTTTAGCGCAACAAACTAGAGTTCCCTGTGGAGTCTCTGGGGAGAGTAAAGTGGTCCCTCAGGTGAGGCTTCCAATTAAAAGAACAAAGAGCTGAGACATGCCAAATGACATGCAAGAATATCCTGCAGAAGTGGACTGGCAACGTTGGGGCAGTGGCTGGAATTTCCAGTTGAGAGTGCTCTGTATCAACCTCTTGTGGATCAACTTCCTGTGACTGAACTTCGGAATTTTCTTTCTCACTGCCTGCACTTCAGTATTGTGGAATAGCAATGACTGTTGGGGATTGTTTATCTTCAAGCTGATTTCAAGGACACTGTTTTTACTCGTGGGCTGGTTTACCCTCCCTGTCACAGTGGTGGGAAGCTATCCCCATTTGTCAACAACAGGCATTGAAGGATACTCTGAGACAAACATATTTGGGTCTGATATGGGGACAGTGGGAAGCATTCTCACTTCTAGAGTCAACTCACTGAACTCTGACAACACACGGCAATTTACCAATACAGTGTGCATTATATTTTGCTCTTAAATTGAGCCTGTGTTGGTATAGGATAGTTCTCCCTCAGGTTAGTTTGTAGCACATATGTTATTGACTTTATGTATTTCAATCCAAATTAATGAAATATTACAGTAAAAGCTATTTTATTTTTGGAGCCTTGTCTTTTATCTAGTTAATTTGGCTGTTACACAGCCAGTTGTAAGACCTTTTTGTACCTTTAGCCTAAAGTTCTGTGCCTTTAACTCAGAACATTCTAGCATTTAATTTGCACATTTGTTTTATCATAGCATTTCCCCTTCAAGGATTTGGGATCTATGTGTTTAGGAGGACATGGGGTGATGATCAATCAGTCTTGGTTGCTTGGGAACTGAACAGGGATAAAAAATGAGCTGGGTAAGTCTCTCTGGGGCTCATGCTAAGAGTAGGTGAAATGCATGACATTACTTTGGGTGATCTAACAGCCCTTGGTAGGAGTTGGTTATGGCTGCTACCCCTTTGCTAGCATTATTTGAAGTTTTAGGACCTAGAATCTGGAAAGTGCCAATCATAAAAGAACAAGAAGCAAAGACAAACAAAACAAAAAACAAACAATAAAAAACATTAAGAATAAGGAAGTATGGGGCATTGGTGGGTGGTGGATGCCTTTAGGAGGGAGAGGCAAGTTGATCTCTGTGATCTTGAGGCCAGCCTAGTTTACTGAGTGAGTTCTAGGATGGGCTGCAAAGCAATACAGGGAAACCCTGTCTCCAAAAACCAAAAAAAATGGGGGGGGAGGAAGGTAGCATATGATACTTCAGTACAATTTGGTGAGTTCTTAAACAGATCTGATAAGTTATTTAAGGAGGTAGGTTTTATTAAAATATACTTACTGCATCCCCCTTTCCATATGTTGTAATTTAATAAAAGTGGCCCTTTAAGACAAGGTTCCAGCAGATGTGGTTTTATTAGGGAAAGGGATCTTACAAAGGGGAAAGGGAAGGTGGGGAGACTGGCCTCCAGGGACAGGAGCAGCAGGAGAGAGGAAAGGGACAGAGAGGGAGAGGAAGAGGAGGGTGAGTGGTAGACAGGGCCCTTTTAAAAGGGAACATAATTATTTTTCACAGGTGGCTGCAGCTGAGGGCATATCCTGTCAGAACCCCAAGGACAGGCCAGTACAGATGTCTGAATATTAGCATCATAGTCTCCAGCTTCTCCTGTGGTCCGCTGCCCCTTCCTTCCTCTCAAATCCCTGGCCTCTATTTTCTGTTATTGTAATACATACAATCTTGCTGAACCCTCCTTACTGTTGCTTGTATTTCAGGGCTGACCACCTGGTATTGGATAACCAATTAAAGGGCTCCTCTTTTGGAACAAACTACTCTTGACTGTCAGCATCCCTTTGTTGCCTGTAGTTCTTTGTCTCAGGGTGGAGCCATGCAAAAAGTTTCCCTCCCACAGTGGCCTGTCTTGGTAGTGTTCTTGTCAGGTCTTGGAACCCCTTACATGTTGGGATTCCAAGAGCTGAGGGAAGGCAGATTTTTGAATCGTGTTGAGTGTGTGGAGACCCATTTACTTGCAGGTAGCAGGAGCTGAGAGGAAGGTAGAAATTTGGCTGACTGCTTAGTGTCCAGGATCCCTTACCTGTCAGTGCCAGGAACTAAGCAAGGCAGAGGTTAAGGGCAACTATGTAGGGAACATCACCTTGCCTGTTGTGTTAGTAACTGGGAAAGGGCAGAATGGTGTATAGTGTTAGTATGTAACTCTGAGTGTGTGTATGAATGTAACCTAGTGTGTGATTTTTATGTGAGCATGTGTGTTTGAATGAGTTACTGTGTATAGATCTTTGTGTATGATTTTGAAATGACATGTAAACATGAGTGTGTCGATTCGAGTGTGTAAAGTTGTGTGACTACAGGCATGGATGAAGAGTACTTAGTGTACTGTGTGTATTGTACATATTGGTTGTAAGGCTGTGATTGTGAAATTTTAGGAGTGATTTGAGTGCAAATGTGTGTGTGTTGGTTGTGCACAAGGGTGCAGTAATGTATGACAAGTGAGGGTGTATATGTGCAGAAGTTGGGTAGTGATTTGAGTGCACATGCGTGTTGGTTGTGCACAAGGGTGCAGTAATGTATGACAAGTGAGGGTGTATATGTGCATGAGTTGGGTAGTGATTTGAGTGCACATGCGTGTTGGTTGTGCACAAGGGTGCAGTAATGTATGACAAGTGAGGGTGTATATGTGCATGAGTTGGGTAGTGATTTGAGTGCACATGCGTGTTGGTTGTGCACAAGGGTGCAGTAATGTATGACAAGTGAGGGTGTACATATGCAGGAGTTGGGTAGATAAGTGCAAGAGTGGAATTGTGAGTATGTAAAGTGAGAATGTTGTAGATGTGAGCATGTTTGAGGATGCACATGTGTGCATGAGCAATTGTGAGTCTAGCAATGAAATACAATGCATATTGAAGGTGGAGAGTTGGGAAAGAATCAGACAGTGGGCATATGAGATGGTTATGGGAATGAATATGATCAAATGCATTTTATGGACAAAAATATAATGAATTCCATTTCACAAAAATAATGTGCTACTATGAGGGTAGAACTCTAAGCATGGATATATGTATTTTTAGAAGGAAGTTTTCTGAGCATTAGCTTTTATGGTAAGGAAAGTGTCAAGAATACTACCTTGTTATTTATACAAGGTATATACTACTTAGAATAGCAAATGGTAAGTAATGTAAGCATTACTTACGGGGGCGGGGACGGGGGCGGGGACGGGGGCAGGGGCAGAGGGCGGGGGCGGAGGGCGGGGGCGGAGGGCGGCAGGCTCAGGGACGTTGGCGGGGGCGGGGTCGTTGGCGGGGGCGGCAGGCTCAGGGGCGTTGGCGGGGTCGTTGGCGGGGGCGGGGGCGTTGGCGGGGGCGGGGGCGTTGGGGCGGGGGCGTTGGCGGGGCGGCAGGCGCAGCCCAGGACGTGGGGGCGGGGTGCGACCGGCTAGAGCCTGGCCGGAAGATCGTTAGGGAGGCTCGCTCAGCCCCGGGGCCCCCTGGCTAGCCTCCCTGCTCGCGGCTGCCCACCTGAGGACGTGACGCCCCACCAATCCCCTTCGAGCTCCTCCAGGCCCCTTTGCCTTGCACCGCCCCCCTCCTCACCCTGAAAGGCGCAAGCTGCCCTGTCAGCTGTGAGCTCTCCCTGCGGAGCGCCCTTCTGGCTTCTCAACGGAAGGATGCCTAAGCTCTTCTGTTGCCCTTAGCCAAACTTGCTTTCCCGCCTCTCGAAAACTCGAGCTTTCCTCTTCCCCCTCCCTTCAGCTCACTGTTCTCCACTCCTTTCCCCTCCTCTCCCAAGCCACAAACCCAAGTTCCCTTTCCTCTCTCCCATCCCCTCCTCCCTTCCCGGGACCCCTTTAAACTCTTCTTCCTCCTTTATCTCAGAAACTCAGTCCCAGAGCTCCTGCTGGACTCGGTCTCTGTCTCCTGCTCTGATTCTTCTCGAAGTCATGGCAGGACCTGGGGGTTGGATGGACAAGGAGGTGACAGATCTGGGCCACTAACCGGTAAGTAAAGTACCTCCAGACCACCACCCTCCTCGTGCGCTTCTTTCCTAGGCTTTTGAAAGCCCAGGGGAAAACAGCCCACACCCTCCAGCAGCCTAGGCCAGGACTTCGATGGGCTGTGCCTCAGGATGGACCAGGAAAGCAGGCAGAATCAGTGTCCCTGGGCTCCTGGCTAAGATGAAGGCCAGAAAAAAGAAAGGGACCAGGTGAGGTTGGGGAGAAAGAAGTGGGTCCTACAGGGTGGGGCCTTTTCTAAATAGAGCCCTCTTTGTCTAGGTGCTCCCGGGTACCTGTCACAGCAGCATTCTTGGAGAGGACAAGGGGCTGACCACCTGCTCCCCCCCCCCAGCTTCTTTTGCCAGATCTCTGCCTATGGGTGACCCCTTAAAAAGTAATGAGCACTAGAAAATTGAAGCATTGAGTAACACTGCTCTCACTTTGTAGTACTAGTTTCTAAAAGTTTATTCTCACCAGGAAAATGTTCTCGATTTAGTATTGCTGGAGCGAAAAGGACTCGATGGGTCCTAAATAAGAACTGGATTCTGTACATGCCTTTTAATTCTTGAAACAATGTATTATGCCCCTTAGATAACGAAATATATTTTTATGTTCGTGGTTATGCGCAGGGTCTGCTTTTACTCCTTGTCCGGTTGAAATTGATTGGTGCGCTACTAAAGGCATCATAAACAACAGACTTACTACTGTAACAACACCGTTTATTTCATGGCATCGGGTTTCTGGCTGATACTGGATCCCACCCAGATCCATTTTCAAGTTCCCTGTTTAGATTGGCATTTCATTTGCACTCTCTCTTGAATGCAAAGGGCCCCTGGACTCTCCAAAGGAGAATTAAGCAGGCTCTGTGCTGGAATGATCGCCAAGAATGTGTAGTTCAGGGCATTGGCCTCCTTGCCTTGAGAAAAGCTAAATATTAACTGAGGTTATAGCACTATTCAAAGTCATCTTGCCTTAATTAATTTTTTGTATATTTGGCATTTAAAGATATGGGTTGTTAATGACGGCAGATACCTTCCTCCCTAAAAATGGGACACTCCCAAGACTCCTTTTATAGTACATGGTGTGGTATGTGGTGAGGGGAAGTGGCCTGCATGGGTAATATTTTATCAGACTGCTATCAATCATTAAGAGAACATACTTCAAATCAAAACTGTTGAATGGCAACTGTTAGAAATGCTGTTATTGTTGCAAATCCATAATATTAGACCAAAGATAAAAAATTAAACCATTATTCATCCCACATACACTTTAAACCATTTCTGTTCCAGGACCTATACATGATATTATGGATTATAGAGGACTCAATTGGTGGATTACATTTTGAGCAGAATTTTCTTTTTCAGATTGTGATTAATTTGTTCCAAATAAGACTGTAAAGCCAGTGAGTGAGCTGCTCACCTCCTCAGCATTCTTGTGTGTGTGTGTGTGTGTGTGCATGCGCACACATGGACAAACTGAAAGAAACTGCTGTCTAAAAATGACCAAAATGGGGGATGGAAAAGACCTTATAGAAGCGATAGCACAGGGAACTCCAAACCCAAAGAACAACAACCACAAAAAAGTTGTGGTTTATTACCACAAACATTGAGGATAAATTCCCTGGATTAACTGACCTGGTCATGGCTGTGGGACATACAGCTTTGATGAGAGTCCAGGAGATAAGAAAAAGGCTGAAACCTTTATACTGTAGTTCACTAAGCATTAGTGTTTGTTCTCAAGATTGGATGAGGGTGGCAGTGGGTACAGGAGAAAAAGATGAGCTTGGTTTGTAATGTTGGGGGATATTGAAAAGACACAAAAACATGGGCTACAAGTGATATTTTCCCTCATTTTAAATTCATAGATGGTTCAATTTAGAAAAATTCCTATATTTCTGAATTTCATATTAATTTCTGCACTGTCTGAGCAAATAATAGGTAATTCCCCTCTCCCTAGATCCAAATTCCAAGAAAAGAAACATAGCTGAAGAGCAGCATACTCTTCGATATTTTTATATCAAATGTGTAGAGATTTAAAGTCATTGTTTCTTTAGTCACTGAGCTATACTTTTTTGTTTTGTTTATTTTTACATTTAACTTATATCTTGAAGACTTTGAAGTAAATGAATAGATGAATTGATAGTTAAGTTAGATAGACATTTACATTATGATGCAGAAAGACATGATCAAGGAAAAAGTAAAACGGCATAGGGCAGTATCCCTTGCAATAGTTATTTTCAAAAGGACACATGTGAAGGAGAGAATATTGGCACATGTCCCTGCTAAGTGTAACAGTTTGGAAACAGCTAGATAATGAGGAGAGATGCAACCCTTCAAATGTCAAATTGATCTAAAGGAATCTTGGAGGCCTGTGTATGGACTGACTGAGCTGTAGAGTACATGCCTAGCTTGAACAAGTCTTGGGTTCAAGTCCCATCTTGCATAAGCATGCACAAACATATAGAAGTACAATGAGATATAGGTTTGGGATTTATACATTACATAGTTCTATGATCAATTAAATAAAAGTAACATAGTAATCCTAGAGAGCACAGGCTTGTACAAGAGTATAAATTGGAATTTAAATAAACAGATGGAAATTTGAGTCATGAAAATCAAAAAGAACCATGGGACGAGTGTTGGCTGCATAGTGAGTTCCAGGATAGCCTGAACTTCCAAAAAGACTCTTTTTATAGCACAAAACAACAAAGGAGTGATATAAATTTATGTGGTAATTTTAACTAGATAATATTTATGGCTAAAACATTAGGCAGTTGTGAAATTAGAGGAGAGAAATTACATAGATTTCATAATTGTAAATGCTATTTTGATGCAATTATAAAGCCTCTTCCATAGGGTCTTAGAAGATAAGAAAGCCATTACAATTATCAGTGAATAGGTCAATTCAACCATATTTGCTCTGGTTTTTAAGACAGGGTTTCATGTAGCCCTGGCAGACTTCCAGTTATTTATGTAGCTGACACTGGTCTTGAGCTCTTGGTTCTTTTGCCTTTATTTTCTAAGTGCAGGTAGTAAAAATGGACCATACAGAATCATTCTAGTCAATGATCTGCTCTAACTTTTCCCAATTTTTAATTGAATATATACTTACTATAGGAGAAGAAAGGTACAGAGATTTGTGGTACAGAGATGCTACGTTTCTTTGCAAAGAGAATTGTATTGTGTATGTGTTTATAATTATAATTGTATATTACATTTTTGCTAATTTATAATTTATTACATAATGTATGTGTGACTGATAAGCCTGCATAACTCAATCTTCTTCCTCTCCGAATCTAGCTGGTCTTTCACTATGATTGTCCCCCAAGCCTTCTCTGCCCAGTATGGTAATGACATTCCTTGTGGATTTGGGCTTGGTATTTGACACTGTCATGTATACTCCTAATCTATATTGAGGTCAGGATTAGACAGGCTTTGAGGCCAGTAGTGGCAGAGGTGATCTGAAATAGTACATGATCCAAACACTGTATTTGAAACACACTAGGTTTACAGTTAAATATAACTTCTAGTTTTCCCAGTCTTCACTAAGAAGGCAAAACCCAAGTTCCACATTCAGTCATGAGAAGCTTCCCACTTTACCAAGCCCCTGAGCTGCTCTGTGGAAGCAGTTTTGCCTTCAAGTGCACAAGGTTTGAAATAACCTGCATATCATCCATTACATGTAGAATACTGCCTCAGCTTGACATTGTAATTCAGTCTATTTTCTGAAGCACATTCCCCATCTCCAAGACAGCGTTTTTTCCATATGTTAGTGCACAGAGACAGGGTACGTGCATTGAGAATCATCTGGGTATCTTAAATGAATCGTCCAAGGGAATTCTGATTTCATAATAAGAATTCTTTAGTTTTAAACAGGGTTTCTATATGAGTCTCATGGAGGGAATATATATTCAAGCCATGGACTATGAAGTAGAGATCTATACAGATTTTTCCTTTCTAAATTCTGATTCTGTTGTGAAGCTCATCCTTCACTCTCATCTCTTTAGAACCAACATTTTAGGAACTCTACCGACAAGTTGTTTTCATAAAACTACAATTTGTAACATTAAAATAATGGAAGAAAAACACTATATACTCAGTGTTTATTCTCACCTTTGTTTTGTAAGCAGTGGAACATGTTCCCTAATCTTTAAGTGAATGTCAGTACATTTGAAACTTCTTGCTACCTGTGTTGACCGTGTATTGCTTTCCTTTCCTCCTTTGCATAGGTGCATTTAGTTGTATTGATCAGGCTGGGGAATGTGTCTTCCTTGACCAGGAAACACTGCCTTCTAGTGGTTCATTTGCTTCCTTCTTCCACACCCTTAAGAAAACAAACCACTGGGTTCCCAGTCTTTCCTTCTCCTGCCTTCCTTCAGAAGAAACAACTCTCAAATCCCGGTTTTCAAGGACAATTCCATTAGGGTTTTTAATTTACTAGAGACAATTTGGATATATAGAAATATGTGAAAAATCGTTTTAAAAATTGCCTAAAAGTTTCTGGCTCAGAAATAATTTGGCTTTTTGTTTTTATCTCACTTTTTGAGAGACGATCTAGAAATTTGGCTTTCTTATTTTATAGTCCAGAATACATATGGGCTGACTAAAACAGAAAATGAGACAGAAATACTGTGCATTAGTTTACAAATCAGCAAAGTTCTCTCTCATCTGAATTTAGTAACTTACTTAGTTGTAGAACAGATTAGAGGAGAGATAAGGATTAACAGAGCATGAGGAATGAATGAAAGGAATAGCCTTAGAATATAGGAATACTAAGTTGGATATGCTTTTAAAACTTGAAACTTAAATTTTTTTATTTTATTTAAAGTGAGCATTCGGCTAATTAAGATGATTTCATTGCTTGTGACTAAAAAACAAAGATTTTTGACCATGTTAACGAAGCTGAAACAAGATTTCTGTGATTTACACAGTACAGTTCCTTACTTTCTCTTTTGACTTAAAACCCCACTATAAGATATGCTTATTGTTGAAGGGCACATATAGTATTAGATAAATTTCTGAAGATTCAGAGATTCCAGCTATATATCCTCAGACAATATGAGAGTTCCCAAACATGGTATCTTATCAGGTTAAACACAACCGTACTTATAAAATAATAGCTTACCAATAGGATTTAGATAACTTGTTTGTTTTAAAAAGTAACCTGGCCCAACAAGATGGCTCAGCAGGTAAAGGTGCTTGTGGTCAAGTCTGAAGACTGAAGTTCAGTTCCTGGAACCCACAAGCCGAAAGCACGACTCTGAGAAGTTGTCCTCTGATCTCCATGTGTGCATTATGACATGCATGGAGGTGCCCACACACATTACAGAAGAAATAAATAAGTAAATAAATAAACAAATGCATTTTTATTAAGTGAGCAGTTTTTGTTTCTCGACTTCCTCATGGTGTAGATAAACTTCCCAAGGATATCTTTGAATGAAATGTGCTAAAGTAATAGTCCCTAAAAGCTGGTTCTTAGTAACTCCTTTGTTGTTTACCATTACCCCATAAGTCTTCCTGAAAGTCATAGCAAAAGTTATGTACAAGATACTAAATATACTTTGCTTCTCAAATACTAAAACCTGTCATGTAAATCTTTTTTCATTTTCAGCTGGAAGATGTGTCTTGATCAACTTGTTTATAATCATGACTTTATTGTGTTATTATTAATTTTAATGAGTGTTTTTAAGAAAATAAGAGTCTGCTGCCTTAATGCTTTTGTCATTTCTGTGGAAACATCCAGATTTTAGGATGAAAGTATCAGATATTTTTTCCTGCAAAATATTAGAACTCAGAAATCACTGAACACAATGCCTTCATTTTCCACGTGTGATAATGGAACCCAAGAGAATAAACGTCACCCAGAGCTGTACATTTAGTTATTAACAGCTCTGGAGTCAAAACTCACTTCTCCTGACTCCATTTGTATACTTGTTGATTGAGATTAATCCGGAGTTGTCATTTAACCATGGCACTTTTGCTAGATCACATAAGTATCACACTAATCTTAAGAAATCTATGACTTTCTTCATGTATGCTCCTTACTGAGTAGCTTTCTGTTTACTCTTTTTATCTTGCATTTTTCACAGAGATATAATTATTTTATGACATCATTACATATTTGTGTTCTGTACACTTTCTGAATTTCCAAGTACTTGCCAATACCTTTACCATTCTGTGTATAAACTGATATCTATTCATCGTTCATACAAATATTTTTTAAGTCTCTGGTGTTGATTAAAAAAACAAACTTTATGGAACCATACTTTGGTGAATGGGAAGATAATACATTACACTGTAAGAGCATAATACTCAATGATGAGTATGAAAGATTCAGGACTGTATTCATAAATATATTTTCTTTGTTATGAAGAGTCAAAAGAATATTGATCAGTTTGTGCCATAGAAAGACACTAAGCTGATGTAAATGTGAATGTAAGAAGCAAAACCAAGACTATCTCCTGGTTTTAGATAGAAGCTCCTAATGCTGTGGTTCGTGCTTTGGTGCTCATATTAGAAACAGTAGTTCCTAGCCGGGCAGTGGTGGCGCATGCCTTTAATCCCGGCACTCGGGAGGCAGAGGCAGGCGGATCTCTGTGAGTTCGAGGCCAGGCTGGACCGACAGCCTCCACTACAGAGAAACCCCGTCGCGTAAAACCAAAAAAAAAAAAAAAAAAAAAAGAAACAGTTGTTCTAAGTGTTTCTGTGGTATAAATCAGTTAGACTTTGTCCAATATTTACCCCTCCTTCATGAATGTTAAACTTTTTAATTTATGTCATTAGACCTCAGAAAGGGATAATAAGTGAATACTTTTTTAGCATGTGTGTGAACTTGTTCTATATTACTTATATCTATGTAGTTTACTCAGAATTAGTTACTTATGGTGATATTATTTATGATTTATTAAAGTTTTCCTGAGGATTCAGAAATCAAAGTCAGCCACAAGCCATAGAAGCCAGGCACACATCTGTAATTCCAGCAGCCAGAAACTAGAAGGTGGTGGTACACACCTCTAATGCTAGGACTCAGGATTAAGAGGTAGACAGATCTCCGTAAATCCAAGACCACCCAGATCTACACAAGATTAATCCAGTCTCGTAGAGAAACAGCTCACACAAAGATGATCTCAGCAACTGGGATCATACACCAGCATTAGGACTGTACATAAGGAATTTAAGGAGCAAGGTCTCAGTATCAGGCATTAATTTTCCAGCCACGTTGAGAACAGGGATACCTCAGCCTGTATAGAGGTAAGAATTTACTTTCAGGCAAGCTTTAATATATCATAAACAGTATATCACTACACTTACCTGTATACAGCTTAATGTATGATTTCAAACTTTCTTAGTGTGTTTTAAAATAAATTACTACACTCAATCTGAGGACATTGCTACATATTCTTTTGGGAAATGGGTTCATCAAACAACATGTTTCAGGGGTGTCTTTTATTTTGTGAATTCTAAAAGAACAATGAGGATTGGAATTTTTTCAAGGAAAATGATTAATTTTGTTCTGCTTTTTGTAGGATCCAACTGGAATATTCTCACTAGATAAAAACATTGGTCTCGGTACTTATGGGAAAATCTATTTGGTAAGTGGAACTAGATTATTTATTCATGTTTAATTTCCTAATAACAACAGAAATTGTGAGTGAGACCCCCAACAGTGTACATAAAATATTGCTAAAATATATTACATAAATCTGAGAGGTGAATCAAATTAAAATACATCATTGAGATTTTAAAATGTTGAACCAATAAGCATAAAATGCAAAATTAGAAGCAAACATGAAACCCCTTGATTAAAAGAAGGAAATCAAATAGAATGTACAAAAATACTAATATTACTTGTTTTATAATATGTATCAGTGGATTTGTCATCTATATTCTACTTTAAATTGAATGGTTTATTATTGATAGACAAAATTAATTAATTTTCTATATTAACAAGTTTGCAAATGTGTAAATAAAGTTTGCTAAAGAATTTCTCAAGAAAAGCTGTACTTATTCAATAATTATATATTACAAACTAAGTATGCTCTAGGAACTGTGACAGTCCCCTAGGATGAACTAATGAATGGAACAAGTGTCCTGCCTACTCTTCTGGCGATTATAATACTGAAGCAGATCATCAAGTGTGCATATGTATACATGAATGTTTAAAACACCCACATAGGGTATGCAAGTAAACACACAGCTATGCCATTCTAATTGTCATGTGTTAACTGTTAGAAAACTCATAGCAATATAGGTGTACAAAACAGGGAAATTCATTTGGATTGGAGGTTCATTGTTGACTGGCTTCCTGAAAAATTAAGAACTGCTATCAGGAGGATAAAAGCAAGGTGTTGTTGAGGTGGATATTCAGACTTTCCAGGGGGTTAGGACAGTATTAAGAGATTGCAAGTAGCATTGTCACCTTAGTCAAGCCTGCTTCTTGTACTCTAAAGTATGGTATCTTATGTTTTAAAATACAAGGTTTTATACAAGGAAGCACTTCTTTTGCCAAGGACTTTCCCTTGAAAGCAATGTTACTATATGTAGGCTAACCGTACTGCCCAGTACAGTAAACCACAGCTCATATTAATATGGATTGTGTAGCAATGCCCCAATCTACTCCTAAAGGAAACATCTTCTTACCCATTCAGACAAGGATGTCCTTTATAAGGACATGTCTGGAGCAGCATCTTCCCAGTGAGGCTTCGTCTCTAATTTATCTGCCCACGTTGAAGTGTGAGATGCTTTATAAACTTCTTACCAAAGCACATTCCACAATGTAGGCGGGCCTAAGTATGGAAGTAAGCTTAGCAAGTACAGGGAACAGAGGGATTGACAACAGAAAGGAGAAAGGTTTCCTGTTCTTCAAGTAGTTTTGATCTTACACAGAAACAGAACTGATTATGCAATGTCGAATTTCATATTGCTAATATTCTCAGTTCTGCCTCCTAATAAAATGATAAAACACCTTTACATGGGTAGCAAAATATCTTTTTATGACAGACACATTTAGAATATGTATATTACATAAGTATTTCAATTCCTGAGACGGGTATATATATGTATATATGCATTTGTAATTCTTCTAAGAAGCATAGCACCTTCTCCATCACCAAATGTTGGAAATAAGGTAAGAATTAAACATTCATCAGAGCTCTGATATCCTCACGAGAAGAATAGTCCAAAAGGGAAAAAGGTATGTTATGCATAAAAAATTATTTTTTAAAACTCTGGGTCTAATATATAATTAATTAAATTTACTTATGAGTTTAAGCAAATATTTATAATCATTAGTTTAAACCAGTATTTACAGTCGTATAGCCATCACCACAAATGAAGATTTAAATATAGGTTTTATGTTAATGAAAGTCAAGCAATGCCCTTATACTTAGTTGTATGATATACCAGATGACTTGGAATGATTATGACTAATATAAATTTTGTTTTTACATGTAATAAAAATCTTCAGTTGTGCTATAAGTTTTATTTATATTGAATATACTGACTCTATACTCACCATTTTTGGGGGGCTTAGATGGTCTACTTCTTTAGACAAAATAAAAATAATGCCTTTTATATTAACGTTTAGTTTAGCCATTTATAAAATTTTCATTTATTTGTGAAAATCCAGTTTTATACCTGACACGAAGAATTTAAGACTAAAGACTTTAATGTTCCTTATAGTTTGAGGCTCCTACTAATGAAATGCATGAGTTCTTTTCTTCTGGAAGATATTTATAGGCATAGGGACTCTATTGACATTTTTTCTCAGCAGTATAAATATGTCACTCCATTTCCATCTGGTTTCCATAGTTTCTGGTGTGTGTTTGTGTGTGCGTGCCATGCGTGTGTGTGCACGTCGGTTTCCAAGATGTCCTCTCTCTTTTCCTTGCCTCGTCCTAGTAGTGTTGCATCTTCCTTCATTTTGGCTGTGCCATAAATCCACACGGAGTTGACTGTGTGTCTGTAGTTACATACTGTTTCTCACTTCCCATGACACTTGCAAAGTCATGCGTGGTCTTTAGTGAATCACATAAAAAAATCCATGCTTTCTTCATGTCTGCTTGTATGTATGTCTGTTTCCCCTGCAGCCATAGGTGAGTCCATGCCTTTCTTCAGACTTAAGGCTTGTTTATGGCTTTGAACTCTAGATTAAAAAAGTGTGATTTTGTAGATTGTTTGATTTTTTTCTCAGTGTTAGGTTAGGAGTGGCTCTCTTTCTGGATTTCATATCCTCATACAAAGTGAGAAGTCTATGTAAATACATTTTAAGTGAATACTTATGATGCAGTCGTTCACTGTATGTTAAGGCACGTCAACTTCGAAGAATTTTATGTGAACCTAGTTAGATCCAGGGCTAAAAGTAGTTTCCAATGTCAGATTTTCTAAGCAGGGCCCAGTTTCAGGATAGTTATGATTAAAGTTCTATTGACAACATAAAGATTTTTTTTCTGTCTCTCACTTGTGACTTTACCCCTTTTATTATTTCTCAAATTAATTTCTTTGTGTAAAAAGATACATTAATATTAACCTCGTAGAAAACAACATGGAATAAGTTGTTATCAGTTTTAAAGGGATTATCCTCTTTGCACTAATAATTCTAATTTTAGAAGTTTACAATAAAACACTCCAAAATAGAACAATAAAGACACTGTCTGCAGCAGAAAGTTGGTACATTATGGTGACAGCATAGCTCCTTTGAACGAGGCACATCTAATTCAGTCCTTGGAGCTATGGTAGGGAATCAGCCAGTTAACCTCTGATTACACATTCTTTTTGGTTATAAGATAGAGTTCTTCCTACTTACCTTGCAAACATGAATGAAACTTAGAAACAGTAGTTATAGAATGTCTGAATTATGGTAGATTTCTGTTAAAGCGACTGCTACTTTCATTACTGTTGCTCATGTTTCCACAAAGAAAAACTCAAGAACACCATAAATAAAAAAATGATGGAAAGGACTTACCTTATATTTGGTATTACACTGTTTTGTAAAGCAGTATTTAGTAAAATAACAGATGTATACTTAGTGTGCTAAATAACATTCATTATTACACTTACATCTTAATTATACTTATGCTTGAATAAGCAGCTGAAAAATATTAAATAAAGCTATTAGATTAGTAAGATATTGGATACATTTTCTAGTTCATGTTCTTTTCTGGATTGTCTTTTCTCTCTATAATGTTACATTGTCGAGATAAAATATGTCTATGTTTTACGTAGATATATTAGACAGTAGCAGCTGTTCAACAACTAACCTATACAACAAAATGGAGAGATACCATTCAAAGTCAATGTGAGTCCCTTGCTTTTTCGGTACTGCCAACCACATCCCCTGCCGTTGTTTGTTTTGGTAAAGTCTCTCCAATGTCTTCCCGCTTGTTTCCAAGGCCTCCTTCTCTGGCAGGTTTCCAGCTGTCTGCTGAGGTCTGTGCACATAGAAGTGAGGACCAAGTTTCGCTCTATTCTACCTTGTAACTCTTTTCCCTTCCTTCTTCTAATTAGACACCGATCTTCCCACCCTACCCCCTCTTCCTGCCAATACAAGCTTCACTTGAAATTGTGGGTTTCCTTTTCCTTCTTCATTTTAGGAGAGAAGTACTGCTCTTTCCCTTTTTCTCAAGTGGGCTTAGAAATGGTAGTTTTTCTTTACCTTTAACTACTAGTCCCATAGCATCTGATTAGGAATTTCATTTGGAAGAATAGTTAATATTTGGCCGTGGGATGACATAGCTACAGAAATGGGCTATAGGCTGGTAAGATGGATGACTCACTGAGTAAAGGTTGTTGCAGCATAAGCCTGATGACCTGAGTCCAATTCCCAGAGCCCTGTGAAGGTAGGAGCGAATCAAATCTACAAAGGTGTTCTCCAATCTCCATATGTACACCATAGTACATAAGTAATGATCCCCAACCCTCCAAAGAATATAAAAATAGGTTGCAACTTATTCTTCAATGACACAGGATAAAACTCAAATTTCTCAAGGAGAATGTACACAGAGATGCCTCAGTAATTTTATGAAATATTAAGCAAGAGAACAAGACCCTTTAGGAGGAAGGGTCGAAAATGCAACCTGACAGTCTTTCTTACATAAGCATGGCACTTGAATTTTCTGACCATATTTATTCAACAATAATATAAATGATCTAGACATGGTAATTGCAGCAGGTTCTTGTGGCTTTGAGATACAGCACTTCACATAGTGCCTGACATCACATATAATGTAAGTTAGTCTTACTATCAACAATGTAATGAGAGCAATCCTGTAGTCCTTTCACCTTCTCACACACTACAAGTTGATTACTGGCCAGTGGCAGTTCGTCGGAGTAGTTCCCCATTTTGGTTCACCCAATAAAATATTCTTCAGTTTATTTTTCTGTTTCCTCCTCTATTTCACCACCTGATAGGCTTGATAATTAACTGAGTAATTATTACCATTTCACAGGTAAAAGCTGGCAATAGGAATACTAAGGATGCAAAGTTGCATTGGCATGTAATATTAGCAAAACAGTCAGTAGAACTTTCAGAATGAATAAAATGACCTTGAGCTTCATGAGCTTTCAACTGAACTGCTACCATCTGAAACCTGCTCCTCATTGCCATTTAACATGGTGAAGACAACAAAAGGAACTAAGTGTTTCGAGGCAACCATTTCAAGGAAAGGCAAATTTATCTGAAATATAGTAAAAAATTTATATGGATGGTTCTGAAACTGAAAATTATCTTCGATGTTGATCCTTAGAGACCTTAGTGGAGAAATCTGCCTCTTGGTAGTCAGAGGGTTAATTCAGGTAAATGATAATGTGACATTATAGTCATGAGCAAATTCCTGACTTGTTTTTGCTTTGGAAATGCACCACTAATCTTGGACATCTTGTTTAAAAACACTGTCCAGTGCATGACTCTTAAAATTTAATATTTTTGTACACACTGCTGGACACATTGCAAACCAGCCAGGTGAGATTGAAGTTTATTAGTTACATCTTCTGCATTTGAATTTGGAGCAATGAATGGGAAAAGAAAGGAAGGAAAGAAATGTCTTCAAAGTTAATGACATGCAATTTATAATATTTAAAATCAATTTCCAGACATATTGTGCTGACATTTGAGTTGACTAGCCACTTGATCTATAGGATGGGAAAGTGAATATTTTTCCTTTTAGGCTGAAATTATACTGTTTATTTGCCTACCAAATGTCTAGTACCGTGAATGCTTTCTTTTTAGGTAGGAAAGTTTCCTCACATCCTTGCCATTTTGCAAATATAGCTCAATTAAGTCAGCCAACAAATATTACTTGAGTGCCCATAGAGAACACAACACTGGGCATTTTATCCTACAGTACAAGTCTCTGTAGCAGGCACTGAAGCTGGAGCTGAGGTGAAGCCATAGGCCTACCAAGCTATTGTGTCTTCCTAATGTAATATCACAACTCCAGAGCAGCGCCTTGGTTCTAGTTCCTTCCTGTTACCTTGCTCCTTTTTGATAATATGCTTCAGATGTAAAGATTGGTCTTCCTCAAGTAACATCATACTGACCTAGCATTAGAAATGTTAAACGTGTCTAGTACAGAGAAGCATTAATTTGAATGCTTAAAACTTTCATGATAGAAATTTCCCTATTGTTATTGAATACATACTATGCCTCTTATACTGTGTTGAGTAGAATTTGGTAAGATAGCCATAAACCTGTTGGGAGACAAGTTTTCTTGGTTTACTTAAGTGAGACCTCACATTCGACAAAGGAATAATGATGAGGAGAAAAATAGAGAAAAATGAATTAATTGGAGTGGGCAAGAGATAGAAGAATAAGAATATTTTTTTATTTTTAACTGGATGTAGAAAGTATACTGACGCTTCTGATCCATGATATTCCAAGAATTTTAGCCACAGTAAGAGAACAGAGGTTGAATATTTGTAGTGCAGTCGTGAAAAGAACCAGCTCAGGCCAACTAAATTGAGACTCAATACCAAATTAATAGGAAGTACTGATTCTTAAAGGCCTTGTAGAAAAGGATGTTTTTCATCATGGCAATGACATCTCTCAAACGGTGTGAAAGGATATAGGCTTCTGAATTTTAGGTTTGCCTTTTCCCCCTATTTTATCAAAACTCTTGTGTCTCAATTAAACCTGGAGAGGGAAGAAGCCATCATTATTATAGAGAAGAATAAGTCATGTATGAATTATTCATCTGCCTCTAAAATATCATAGATTTACTCAATATAATATACAGAAGAGCAAGTTTTAAATACATGTATAAATTATGTTCATAGTTACAGAACAAATTCAGTTCCTTTGGCTTTTTTCTTAGGTTTTAGTAGTTTCCTAAGAGGTCACAATCACATTTTATTAAATGAAGATTTTGTAAAATATCAATGAAATAATACAGTGAAATAAGAACAAGTCCTAATTGGGTTTCGGGCTTTTCAACAATCTATCATATTGTGTACCTCTGTCTTAGGTACTGTCGTGAGTGGTGCCAAATTTGTGTTTAGAAACAGATGTATCATTGTGACTCTCTGAGGGATGTAAAAAGAAAAGCAGAAGCTGCTAGAAATTTATTTTGCTCAGTGAATGCAATGGTAAAAACATACAGAGAAGCCTATTAGCAAAACGAAATGAAAATATAAAGGACAACCAAAATATACAAACAGGTCTTTATGCCACACTTTTATTTTCCCCTGCTTATTCACCCTATGTTAAAATAAATTGCTCCCCTACAAAAGCATGAGAAAGAAGGGGAAAATGAGATGTGAATTGTTGTGCTATTTAAATTGGAGAAATAATGCCATCAATGTGGTGGCTTATGCGTCATTTGTATTACAAAATAAGAAAGCATTTATAAGTTTGTCTTTTTAGGCAGATTCCCTGTATGAATAGGAAAGGAAGATTAGATTGTCCAGAGTCCCCTGAGGGGAGAAAAGATTGATTATATTCTAAGCAGTGACTTTTTTTTTTTTTTTTGGTTTTTACGAGACAGGGTTTCTCTGTATTGTTTCGGAGGCTATTGGTCCAGCCTGGCCTCGAACTCACAGAGATCCGCCTGCCTCTGCCTCCCGAGTGCTGGGATTAAAGGCGTGCGCCACCACCGCCTGGCTCCAGTGACATTTTGTATAAATCATTAACTCTAAAAAGCAAAACCAGAAAAAGAGCACAGGTGTAGAGTACTTGGAGAAGGACTGCTTTTCTTGACTTTGAGAAAAATACTGTAATATATGATTTAAATATCCACTTGAGAGATTGTGACCTCAAGGTTCAAGCAGCCTTAGTTCTTACATTGTCCCTAGCACTTACTTTTCATTATTACCTTTACTTCTCATAAGAGCACTGTGATATGAGTACCTTGCCCATTCACATATTGGGAAACATAAGATAGTCAAGATAATGAACAAACTGACAAAAGTAGTAAATTAGAGATCGCAAAGTAAACCCCAAATTTCTCCATTCTCTTGGTTTGTGCGTGCATGCGTGCGTGCGTGTGTGTGTGTGTGTGTGTGTGTGTGTGTGTATATATATATATATATATATATATATATATATGAATAAAATTATTCTACCAGACATCGGGTGAAAATAAATGTTTTCCCCAAATGGAAAAATACCCATGTTTACAAAAAAACCCAAAACAAAAACAAAAACTAAGCTCAGGTCACCGTGAAGACCTTTGAGTATGTGTCCCTGAAACATACTTTGTTTCCTTCCTGATGAGCACTAAGACAGGGGGTCTCAGGGCCTTTTTCTTGAACGTAATAGAATTTCAGAACTGGATGGGCACAAAGAGGTAGGCTTTAAAGAGCACTCAAGTGTGTGACTGCATTTCTCCTCAGACAAGGTGGAATGGATATGGAAGGAGTTGGAGTAGGAGGTCAAAGATGATCAAAAGGCATTAAATGGGATTCTCAAAGAACTAATAAAAAGAAAAGTGAAATCAACATTATATGTATATGTTAAATATATCTATTGATGTACTTCTAGTAACTTGTGTAAAGAATAAGCTGTAAAAAACTAGACATTTTTTCTCTGTTTAAGAATTTAACTCCTCCCAGAGAAGACAGGAAAACATTGCATGTAAGGGTTAAATGGCCATAGCTTGGTTAGACTGTGGTAGAGGATGAGAGCTGAGCAAGGCTTTGGCATTGCAGATTTGGAGATGAGAGCCAGGTGTGCCGCTTGAAAGTTCTCTTATATTGTTCCCTTCAGATGGGGATGCAAGTTTCAACAGAATTTACTGCTTGAGGTTTCCTTAGTGGTTAACCTCTACAAGAGTTGTAATCAGCCAAATTCTTCCCACCTTGTCTCAAATTAGTGTTGCAATGACAGCATAAAATCTGCTAGAAGGCTTAGAGTGGATATCTAATGATTAGTCTTTAAAACTGCTACACAAATTCTATAGAGAGCAGGGATCCATGTATTTTTTTAACTCTACTCCTGGAGTATCTAATAAATTGAATTCTACATGTCAGGGATAAGGACAACAGGAATAAATAACAAGGGAAAATTTCCTGGTTCATTTTCTAATGTCTACATTTATATTTCCATTTTATTTTAAAAATTACCATTAATAGCCGGGCGGTGGTGGCACATGACTTTAATCCCAGCACTCGGGGGGCAGAGGCAGGCGGATCTCTGTAAGTTTGAGGCCGGGCTGGACTGACAGCCTCCAAAACAATACAGAGAAACCCTGTCTCGTAAAAACAAAACAAAACAAAAATTACCATTAACAAAGAGATCCTGAATTAAAAAGGGTTCATCCAGTAAATCTATTTTAACTACTTTTGTAATCTCTTTGGAACAAGCATGATGGTACCTTATAGACATGGTGCTTAGTGCATTTTCTAATGGAACGAAAAGGATGTGTACAGAAGGGACTTCCTCTCAAATGACACTTTATTGGGAGCTCTCTGCAGATGTGCCTTCATGGAAATGACTAACGACATTAGCCTTTCAAATTATACCACCTAAGTAACTTTCTATTCTGACTTTTAAAAAAAGGTGGTACTGTGTAGAGATAAATATTTCCAAAGGATGGAAATATTATCCCTGCTTTTTATCACTCGTTCCTGAATGAGTCATTTAGGAAGCTTGAAAGAGTTTCTCAGTGTACTGTAGCTTGCTGTAGTGGTGTTGGCATGGCCAAATAAGATGGTTTCAAGAGAGCTTCATACCTTCAGGAAGATGTCTAGAACATTTACAAATATTTCCTGATTTGGAAAATTGGCAGCCATTAGAAAGAAAAACACATATAAATAAGAACATACAAATGTCCTTGCTTCCCTTCACCTTCTACCCATGCTCAACAATTTCCTAACTATCCTAAGTTTGATCATGCTTTAGAAGAAATTAAATGGCCTAAAACATTAAACTCTAAAAGATTTAGTAATGTAGAATTAGTAGTGTAGTTTTATTACCTGCTCTCCTCCTGTCTCCCTTCCCCACTCTATTCTCTTTCCTTCCCTTTCTCCCTCTTTCACTCTCTGACCCACTCTTTCTCTCCATTGATAACAAACTTGTCTTGGTTTACTGGGTGCTTTTCCAGCTGCAACCTCTGGGATGCTACTGTTAGTCAAAGTCTCTCTCTCTCTCTCTCTCTCTCTCTCTCTCTCTCTCTCTCTCTCTCTCTCTCTCTCTCTCTCGTGTGTGTGTTCATGTTTATGTATGCTTGATTCATGACCCTTTCACACTTTTAAATATATTGTACTTGGTATGAAGTAGACATACGCACTCGTCAATTACACGTGGCAGAAGTAATCATCATGAACAAAAAGGTACAAGCTAGTTGAAGTGTAAAAGAGAAGTGATATTGGTAGGGTGCAGAGTCCTTAACTACTCCAACCAGTGCAGTGTAGAATCGGTTCAACTGATTTCTTCAACACACTACCACCTCTGAAAATATACTAATT